GGCTGACTGAAACTTTTCAAGTAAAGCTCCAATGTGGTCCTGAGTCGGGGCTTCAACATCCACAGCATGCCCTGGTGGCTCCAGTGCATGTTTCAACGCCAATGCCAAGAGATGCCAAGAGTAAAATTGCATGCAGACCACTCTTGGACACAATTTATCACACCGCGTCACTGTCCCCGTTTGTTCAACAAGACTGGTAACTTGCAACGTATTTTTTTAGTACAGCGAGCGTCCAGAGTCGATTCGTCACCCACGCTCTCGTGAAGCATAACAAAGTATACTCTTGATCGTGTCTGCGCAAGGCCAAAAGATTTGCTCCTCTTGGCGGAGGCAAGATTCAAATTGAGGGCTGGTACTAGGCGCTCATACTGACTCATACTCGTGGTCATGATTTATATCAGAGTAATCAATGAGTCAGAGCCAGAGCTTACAACCAACCATGTTCAATTCAGTTTTCCGTTTTCAGTCAAAGGAAAGACAAGTAGTGCCAGTAATACAGTCTATGACTATGATTGAGTCGAGTTGCCTCATAGTCTTAGAGTTTCAATCTCAAACCCTCTGATCTCGAACTAACAACTCCTTCCTTCTACTCACCAGTGCCGCAACTTAGACTACTGTAATATACTGTCGCTGCCAAGTTGCTTTAGATCGAAGACCCGTATGACATAGTTTGGAATTAGCTCCAGACCGATTGGTTCTGGGTCACCTCCGTCGTTGCTTGAAAGATGACCCTTCAGGATAAAGTCCATTGGCACCTGCAGCACAAGAGCTGTTCAAAGACCTGGCTGTTGTTTGGCTAAGTGTTCCCAACTCCATTCTGATTCTGGCTCTGATTTACCATGCACACAGACTCCTGCACCCTGGGTTGTTCACAAAAGTGCATTTTTTTGCTTCATCCACACTCACGTTCACGTTCCCATTCATGCCAAGCTGAATTCAGATTGGACTATTCGTGCAGGGCGCGAGGCAATCTTTAGATATATGATAGGCTAGGCGGATAGGCGACTGGTGTTGGAAGACCAAATCTGATCAGTTGTGTCCATCCAACGCGCATTTATGAATCAGTACTGGATAGATGATCATAGAATCATAACTTATAACAATAACGATATGTCACAGTCAATGATAGTCAACACACAACACATAAACAGAACATAGCACAGTCTCAAAAGTTTCCCAAGCCTATGCCTTTGCCTATGCCATTTCTGCCTCAGCTGAGTACTAATTATCTAGACTAGACTAGACAGGACAGCATATCGACAGCTGCCGTGCATGCTTGATGTTCTTCCCGATCAGTGGGAAGACTGTCATGCAAGAGGCCCTTCAAAAATGAAAGTGAACATTTGCACGAGGCCCGATCCATTTGCGCAAGACAGTGTGGGTGAATGGACCGCTGAGGTCGATCCAGGTTAAATACATATTCAAACCTCACATCACCCTTAGCGACGCTGGTGTTGCAATGGTAGCATTTGACACCACCCTTTTTGCAACGGGCAACCCCGATAATCCCAAATGATTTGTGACTGCTGAATTTTGTAGAATTCTCACAAGCTTCGGTCCGAGTCCTAGAAGATGCCGGAACATGTGACTCTGAGACTTGAAGCTCAGCAGCAGCAGAAAGCTCATCGGCAGTCACAGCCTTCTGCTCACGATCAGCTTCCCTCAGCTCTTTTTCAGCCTCCTCACTCAGCACCACATGACCCAAAGCATCATCACAACTCGGATCTTGCTCTGCTGCTCCAGAATGCCTTAATTGAACATGTAAAATATCACATGTCACATGATTGGCCTACTGCCCGCCACTCACTGATTGCTACCAATAAGGTAAGCCTTTCCAGCAATGGAAGTTGAACTATTGTCTGTCAATTAAGATCAACATGTATTACAATTATAGTATATAACACAATTTTACTATTTAGTATTTAAACCATTATTTATCTGTCCCCTGTCTATTGTCTAGCTGCAAATATAACATAATATATTGGCTTAAATTAAAAAGTTGGATCTGAACTGTCTAGTCACAATGAGGGCCACTGACACAGCATTTTATGGAGTTCAGTCTCTGAATCAGCAGGACCAGGATCACGACCACGTTTCCCCTGCTTTGCATCACCATTGCCAGCATTGCAGACATCGGCGATATCAATATCGGCAGCAGCACCAGCATCGTCTCTAGCGGCAATCTTGGCCTTCGCCTTTGCCTTGGGTCTTTGCAAGGATGATTTCAAAAGGGCAGCGAGCCCACCAAAGGCAACACCAGCCAACGCAGGCGCTTGCACCTTTTTGGGTTGGTGGTCATCCAGGTTGAAGCTCCCACCCAACTTGAACGTACAAAGCGGCTGTCCTGCTGCACACACGTGGCTGTTGCCGGCATGGGAGAATTTGATGTCGTCAAACACCGCACCATTGACCTGAACTGAACTACTTGACAGGCTTGATCCAGATCTGTCACGTCTCTCATCTCTCTCTCTCTCACTTTGCCTCTCCCACTCCATTTCTCTTTGTTGACTTCAAATTGTGACGTTTTCATTGGCAGTTTAGCCAGTTGGTAGTAGTCGCATGGAATCCTGGCTCTAAAACATGAAAAGTTGAGCATTAACTGACTTGTCGATTGTCGATTTATAAGTAGTTTTTTATAAATTAAGAAATACACTGTGACAATGACAACTGATTTAATAAACAAAGGCCAGGACACCTTAAGTGTAGCATCTGGAATCCTATTCTGACTTTCATATTCCCGAAGTAGCTTTTGGAAGCATCGATGCGAAGACTCCACACACGGTATGTTGTTGACCACCTTGAATGCAAAGCGGCTTTCACCGACAGAGCACACTCGGATGCCAATATGAGTCAATGGCCTCTTGGTCATGCAGCCCAATAAAAACCAGGCTGAAGGGCTCCTGGGGGCAGTCGAAGCCGAGGAAGCGGAGGCTGAACTTTCCTCTACTTCAAGGTGCAAGAGGACATGCCTTGTTGCAAGCTTCCGTAGGGTCAACACTTTGTCAAGCTGGTCCACCAAGGTCATTGTCACATCAAAGGAATGGTCTTTTTCGCAGATGCCCGCAAATGTCCACAAGCAAGGCCGGCTGAACAGTGGGGCAGCAACGTTGTCATTCACCGTAGGATCGTACAAGAAGTCCTTCAAAATCTCCTCTTCCAAAGTGCTATCTTCCTTCTTGGACAGCTGGTCGAATTCTTTGACAAAAGATGCCCGTAGTGCACAAATATGGTCGCTCAACGCTAGCCCTTCTTGCCATGTTGGGTTCTGAATGACTCTATCCAAGGAAGTGTCCAATCGGCATTGATTCAGGCGGTGGAGTTGAGATGGCCTTAAATGAGCTTCCTCTGTCTCAGCAGCCACTGGCATTTCACCCAACGGACGGTCCTTGGCACTTTCCCGAAACATGTTCATCACTGCAGCTTCACGCACGAGGTTGTCGATTTCCTCCTTGGAAAGGGCATTGTACTCGGCTGCCATCTGTTTTTGTGCTTGACGGGCCGGTGAGCTACCCACCTTGTGACTACCATAGCGACTCCTCTGGGCAGATGAGTTGAGAGAAAAAGGACAATCAGAATTTGAAATTAGAATTATGATATGACATGATTCATATTTGATATGCGTTCTTGAAAAGTCATTTTGGTGATAAATGGCTACTTGCTAACTCTGACTAGTTTAATTGACAAATAACAAATACAATATGATACAGTGATACATAATACATAATTAGTAATTTTTAAGATAAAGTATTGGTCTACAGTCCGTCCAACTTCAAACCTATGTCTATGTCTATTTCTATCTCTACCTATCTAGTCTGTCTACTGTCTACCGTCTACCGTCTACCTATCTCTAACTTCAAACTTCTAAACCCTTGCGCCGAGAACCCGCAACCCCAAATCCTGAACTTCTGCGCAATCAGGTTGAAAGCAGACACCTTCCTCGTTTTTCCTTTGTTCTTGCGAACCTTGCCACTCTGAACTGACCTGGGATGTTGGCAACCGCTGATCAGAAATCAAATGTCGTGCAAGAGAGAGAGAGAGAGAGATTGAGAGAGTGGTAGCGTAGTAGTAGTAGTAGGAGGAGGAGGAGGAGGAGCAGGAGGGGAGGGACTTACAGTATACAGTTTGCTTTGTTTGTTTGTCACAGTAAGCAAATCCAAGTGACGTCACACCCTTCAAGAGTCCTGCTCTCCCCTTCACGCTGCCGTCTGAACATATCTTTGTTCGGCTGTGCAGCCGGCCCTGACATTTTGGCCCGGTGCTCTCAACAACCCGCTGCTTCAACAATCTCTTGACCCTTCCAGCTGCCTTGCCAAAAGCGCATCCTTCAGCTGCCTGTTTTAAAGCTTGGTGTTCCAACATTGCTGACATAATCAATGAGTTTGCCTGAGTAGTTGGAGCACGCTTGGCGTTGTAGCGATGTACAGCGCAATCTACTTGGCAATTAGCATGATGTTTTTCCACTTCCACACTTGATGCCGGTATTTGAGTCAAGAGATCAACAACAAATGCCTTCACTTCTTCAAAGCGCATACGGGCATCTCCAGAAGGACCGTTTTGATGAAAGATGTAGGTGAGCAAAACCTTAGCAAACCAAACGCGCACGTACACAGAGAGAGAGAGAGAGAAGCGGCTTTAAATCAGTGGATCGTTGGACGTTGGTAATGGGGTGGCTACCACCAACCTCCCAAAGAGTCAGGCAAGGCAAGGCACTTCTGTAAAGGAAGGATCGCAGCGCTTTCTGCAATGGCTGGATCTCAAGCCAAGCCCATGGAGATACGGCAGGCCTTGCTCGCTGCTCATGTCAACGATCTTGAACAACTGCCAGGGACAGCTCTCAAAGGGCATCACTAGTCGCCGATAGCAATCACACATTGCCATAACCACATCACCCAAGCAATCATCTTGGCTCAGCCCAAAGTCTGGAGACCACACTAAATCACACGGCGCTTGAAGCATGGAGAAATACTCGTGGAGGACATCCAACCCAGTTTGACCCGCGAGGATGCGCATGTTGGCGCTGACCAAGTCCTGATTTGTACCCGCGCATGTACTAGTAGGTGGGAGGAGGTTTGCATCTTTCAGTCGCATTCTGTGGCGCAAAGTCTCAATCAATGACAGAGTATCCATATAGTTCGCAATGGGGCGCGTCAACACAACTGCCTTTGCCAATTTGGCCTCAGGCCGTCAGGCTTCATAATATACAGTGACAGTATCAGTACCAGTATCGGTGTCAGTGTCAGTATCAGTGTAGAGTACAGTACATGTTTACAGGCTTGAAAGCAAAACAACAACCAACGTAGACTCTGACTTGGACCAAGCCACAACAATCTCCCCCTCTGTCAGAAGCATGTAAGCTTTGCTCATGCGCACTTTTTGCTTTTCCGCAGGGGCTAGATCAGCCGAGTCGATGTCCAGTATGGCGCTCAAATCCTCTGAGCTTGCTGTCCCGCCCATGCATGCTTGCCAAACATACACCAAGATGTTGTGAAAGCACATGTTGCGAAGGCAGAATTTAACTGCTGGACTCCAATGCTTCCACCTGTAGAGCAAGGGACAATCGAAGAACGTACCAATCGTTGCCCGAAGAGCAGCAACCCCCTTGTGATATGTCTCCTTTTGGCTAGAGCAACATCCAGGAGGGCAAAAGTGGGTAAGGTGGCCAGCAAAGGATCTGATTGGAATTGCCCAATCGTTGTTGAATTTTGACAGAAGTAGCTCCACATCTGACTCATGCGTATCACCACTGCAAATACTCAACTTGTGAGCATTGTTTCGGTTGTATGCCTGTACTCGCAAAGGCAATTCCACAACAGGCTGCCGAACGAGGCATTTGGCAATCGAAATGATGGCACACTCTAGATTCCTCGTGAAAGAAGATGAGCGGCTGGCATGTCCCATCCTCACCAAGCCTGGCAAGATGATAGATAGATAAGATAGACTGATAGACTGACTGTCGACTAGATGATAGATGATAGATCTGACTCAACTCTGACTGACATAGATGCTGGCCGCTACCTTCCAAAATGGAATCTGTGACATAGGCTACTTGTAGCTATGTTTTGGGGGAGGTGAGGGGGGAGGTGAGGGGGAGGTAGCTATGTCTTGAAGTTTGAAAATAACAATAGTAGCAGCAGCAGCAGCAGTAGTAGTCAGTAGTAGTAGTAGGAGTCGTAGGAGTAGTCAGTAGTAGTAGTTGTAGTAGCAGCAGCAGCAGTAGTAGTAGTAGTAGTGGAGTAGGAGTAGGAGTCGGAGTACGAATAAGAGTAGTAGCAGTAGCAGCGGGAGTAGTAGTAGTAGTAGTAGTAGTAGCAGTAGTAGTAGTAGTAGTAGCCAGAGTCAGAGTCATAGTAGTAGCAGCTGAGGTTGTAGCAGCAGTACTGTTCAAATCAGTGCCTGTCGCAAGGCCAGGCAGTCGTAGAATCACGGGTTTCTTGCAAAGAGCGGCTTGGTGGTGTAAACATAGTGTATTCAGCAGGGTAACGCCCTTTGAGCCCAGATTCTGCAACAGGAACTTGTCTTGGTCCATGGCAGCAATAGAAATGTTGGTTGGCAAGGAATCACTGCCTTGGTTGGCAGGCAACTCCTGGTCCTTTCCAAAACTAATGACAGCTCAGTAACTCAGTATTACGTATCTACCGTATCTATAATATATATATATAATGTGAACATATATTTAAAATATCTATTTGATACTATAAACCAAAACAAATGATGAATAATCAATTTATAATTTTACAAAACTTAAACTAACTACTTAAAGATAGGTGACAAAATTGTGTCAACACTGTCAACAACACTGTTAACTAATAATATAACTAAACTAACCAGCTCACTCACAGTATACAAACTGCTGAACTTCATCCAAGCAGACTTGTGACAATGGCCTTTAGAGGAACTGCCTCAATCATAGCGCAGGTTCGCTCACCTCCATGCTGTTTGGATGTACCGTTGACGCCAAACAAAGCCCACCGGGTCAAACGATCATATAGCGTCGAAGCATTCGCCTCGATATCTACTGAGCACAGCACGCTGTTACTGTAGCTAGTGTGTTGCAGGGGTCAACTAGCAGGAACCCAACTCCGAAACCTGTCTTCAAAGCTTTGTTAGAAAGTTTGCTTGAAACATCTTGAAACCCGAGACCGGGCCTTGGGGAGAACCTGGGAAGGTGTGTGAACTTGCACAGTCTGTTTCTCCATCCTGCCCTTGCAACGGATACAAATTCGCTGAATGTAGCCAAGCAAAGGACCGACTCTCATCCTACCAGTAGTCCTACCCATTCGGAAGGCGTTTGATTCACCAGCAGCAACATTGTCCTTGTCCTTGTCATTGTCTTCAATTGCTTCGGTCCCACGGTCAGTATCAAGATCAGCTGACAGCCACACATTAGTGTCATCAATGGTCCGTGTCACGATGGCATGCAAAGGTTGCGTCGACTCCAACCACTTTTGCAGTTGATTACGCTGAGCCCAAACATAAGCAGCGATGCCTAATCCTTTGGCCCTCTTCACTGTTTGGGAGACCCTGCTCTGTGAGCTGTACCACGTGAGATTCCCATGTTTGTCCTCGATGATTGACAAATTTTGCCTGAGTTTTCATGATGGCCCAGAGTACAGAGCACGCTTACCAAAGTTGTTTAAGCTTTTGTTGCCAGGGGCTCATCAATAGAAAATAAGAACTTAAGAACCAAATACAGTAAATGATATGTCAAAAATTGTCAAAAGGAGAATCTGAATGTTCGCACCCAGGATGCACATTCCGACTTTTGGCATCATTCATTCCCCGACCCCAAGAACCAAAGACCGTGTTCACAACATTCTGGGCCTGATCCGCCTGCAAGCATATTTCCTCCTGGGCGGCCTTGGATTGACGAGCCGCCCACCCATTCTTGCAAAATGCACTGTGAGTGCGGCCATGCGAGAAGTTCTTTCTTGGAAGGTCCTGCCAAAGCTTTTTGCAGGTATGTTGTGGTATCCTCACGGTCTGATAGTATATTATATAACATATAACGTATAAATTACATAAAATTAAATAATGTATATATCATATCATATCATATATATATATTATTACTTTATCTTATTATGATATGGTAGGTATCCGATATCCGGCATCCTGGTTTGTGTCCGGTCGGCGGTTGAACATTGAACATTTAACTGCGTTTACATCACATGGAAACCGCAGAACTTCCCAACCACTCGCAGTCCTCAGGATTGGCTTCCAAAGAGTCCTGATCCTGACTCTGACTCTGACTTCCACTGTCACGCTGCAAGCTTGGTGCTTGATGAGCACGCACAGCATCCCTGCCGCTGTACAAAGCCCACATTGCTCCAAGTCCGCCGCGTGTACTACTTACAGCTCAGCCTAGTTCTAGTTTTGACAAGTTGAAAGTTGTAACTCCGCTGAATCCCTGAATTTGGTATCACTTGCCACTTTGTATCATCAAACACTGGCTGCGTTGCTGGAAAGCGATACGGCACGTGACGTGAAACTGCTGCTGCTGCTGCAGCACCGCTGCAATGGTTCAATCGCTGCAATGACGTCAACCGGCCTGGAAGATATCTGTACTTGAAGTCGACGAAGCTCTCTTCCGTAGACCAGCGACGTTCTCACAAGCCTGCACGAAGACCGCAAACCCGAAATAGGCAGGCAAGAACTTAGAACTACTTAGAACTTAGAACTTCTAGAAATAAGAAAATCACCCAACAAGTGTGGATTAAGTCTTCCGAATTCCAAATTCTTCCGTTTTTTAACTACATTTAAATTTACATTTACATACAGTAGATCATAGATCATGAATCATGGATTGACTGATAGAGGTCAATTGAATCAGATAAAAAAAGGACGAACACGTGCATACGCTGCATCGTCCTGTTACATACTGCCTGCCTTACTTTCAATGTTCAACGCTGAGCAGACAGCTGAAATGAAGAATCTGACTTGGAGTCTGATTTTTTCCGGCTATGACTCATCACCACAAATGCAGACTGGACACTTGGGGGAATTTCGCCTCACAAACCTTGATGTCTCCAAGAAAGGTATGGCCTTGCTCGCCTCAATGACGGCGGAAGGTAGTCAGTGACAGTGACATGTTGAAACACGTCACATCTCACATCTCACCTCACTAACATCATTTTGTCATGAAGCCAAACTCGCTTGAACAAATGACTCCAACTCTGGCTTGATAGTAAACTCAAACTCAAGGTTACAGCCACAGCACTCAAACAAGATGTTCTTTGCCCACTTTAGTCTCACCAAGCTACTACCTTCGTGTCTGTCGATTCAAAGAAGTTGGTCACATTCCCATTTGCGAACCTTGTACTGCTTTCAGCACTAAATAATTTGCATACAAAGCCCGAAATATATATGTCGATGTCCATGTCCTCCTGGCGCAGAAGTTTGCGCGACGCTCAGTGGTTTTCCTTCTCCTCTAGAATGAATCAACGCAAGTGACTAGTGACGTGACTAGTGACGTCCTCTAGTTTGTGCTGAACTGAGTGAATGTCAAGTCAAAACATGTCCATAGTCTCCTTTACTGGTGGGCATTGTCCACGGTGGATAGCACATGGCCCGCCACAACTCAGGGTTCCAAAAGCATGGACAAAACTCGGTGTTGAGTTTGTAGCTAAGCTCAAGCTTTTGTTCCTTTTCCACTTCCAATTTCGGACTTTGAATTGTTTAGTTGTCAAAAGTTCAGAAGTTCGCACAATCAGAATCAGAATCATAATCACTGATCACTGTGTCACTGATCACCAATTCTGTCCAGCTGCCGTGCTGCAATGATGTTGTGGTAGAGGCAGCCAACTTCAAAGTTTGCCAGGAAAAAATCTCGGGTGGCAGCCTTGGGATAAGCAACTCAACTCACCAATACTTGTCCTGTAGCACACTTTTGAAAAGAGGAAGAAATCCCGCACGGAGGACAATCTGAATCTGAATCTTAACTGAACCGTGAGCGGTGCAAATGAGCAAATCATGTGCGGTCTGAGTGCTAAACATCATACGATATGAAAAAA